GACATCTTTGATACAAGTAACGAGTTCACTTCCAAGTGAACAACCCGATAGTCTTCTTCTTATCATAGCATACCAACCAGCGAACACCCAGCCAAGTTTAGTTAGCCAGTTTGAGTATTCGTTACACTTAGGCCGCTTAGAAAATCTTAAGTAAGTCTTCTTTTAGTTAGCTTAACTTATAGCCCGTTCTCAAAAGTAGCAAGAAACAAGGGTTATCTACTAGCGTATTATAGTTTAATTAGCAAGGTATTTTATATATAAATTTCTTTTTTCTTTAGGTTCTAGGGCCGCTAAAGTTCTTACTACTTGTTAGCTTTGGAGTATATAATAAATAAATCCTTATAGTAAGGTGTGATTAGTAAGAGTTTTTTCGACCAATCAGAGAATTAAGGAGTTTTAGATTAAAAAAAAAATCAACTTTTTTACCCTCCTACTAGAAAGGTTAGTAACACTAAGCCGGCGCGACAGTAAGCCGGCGGTCCTATACAACTAACAATTAAAAATACTATTTAATCGTAGATCTATTACTTGATAATTATCTAATAATATTACAATTTAAATTAAATTTTCCGACCGTTAGTTATTAAGTCATTAATTATTAATTATATAGGACCGCCGGCTTACTATCGCGCCGGCTTAGTATCGCTAACCCTTCTCGCGGGTATACAAAAAATAAAAAAATAAAATTTAATCCAAAAATGCTAAATCTTCTAATTGGTCGACCCCAAGCTTAGTAATCACACCTCACTATAAACACTTAAATTAACTCTTATATACTCCGAAGCCAGCAAGTACTTTTCAGAAGGGGCTATACAGCCCCTTCGCAAAAGTAGCAAGAATCTAGGGTATCTTACTAGTGTGTTGCAGGGTATTTTGCAAGGTATTTTGTATGTGAATTACTTCTTCCCACAGTTTCTAGGGTCGCGAAACATCTTGCTACTTTTGCGAAGGGGCTGTAGGTCGTTAAAGCAGTTAATTCGAGATTTGTGTTCTCTTGTTTCGATTACTTCAAATGGATAGAAAGGTCGAATAGTATTAAATCCCGAAATATTAATTATGCCATTGTAAAAAGTATACTTGTCTATTAGGAGCGTAGAGAGTTCAAAAAGGTTGACTCATTTTCCAACCAAATTGCGTTTTCTCTACCACCAACAATTGCTTTTCGACACCACATACCACCAACCGCCCATCATTCTTTCTCTCCCCCCTCAAATCAACTCTGCCCTCTTCCCCACCTCGATAACATTCAAACAACTCGACGCATGATCACCTTTGTCGAGCTAACACCGAAATGTCAGCATCACCTCTTTCATAAAGTATATTTAACAACACCCGGATGGCGTCTGGAGTAGGGATGGATACGATAAACAGAATATGGGAACACGAACCCCTTTGCAACATCCAGGGTAGGTATCATCAATCAGACAAAAGAACTGAGATGGATTGTCGTCGACTGGTGATGCTGAAAAGCCTTTGGTGACAAGCAGGTTAGTCTTATATCAAGAAATACTCTGAGAAGGTAGGCAAGGAGAAGGAGAATTGGGAAACATACAATCCTTCCCCACAAACCCAGTGCTATTTTTTGAAACCTGGAAATCACAGCATGCCGCCTCGAACTTCTCAGGTACGCTATCCGATTCGCAGTTCCATGCCTTGACGCCTAGGATAACGGTAAGGAGGAGTGGACTGATGAGCTTCATGTTGGTTTCTTTTCTCCGGGGGTTTTGTATGGGAATATAAACCTGGTGGTTTGAATGGTGAGGATGAATATAAAGAGGAGAGGAAATGGTTGAGGTAAGGGATGCATAATTTCCCCGAGGTTACGTCAATGTGGTCGTGATGTTTCACTGTGTTACTGATCATTGGTCCTGCTTTCCGGGTTGGGGCGAGCTGGTTACGTCGTACTGATTCTTTTATGAGGGTCTGAGGAAGTAAATGGATTAGTAGATGAGTATCCCGTGATATTCATGAGGTTTGGATGTTTATTTGGTATAAAGGACTGAGTTGACTATTTTTAGATCGTCTTACGGATTTTAAGACTTAATTCTAGCATGAAAAAACATCAGGATAATTAAGCTCGCATTTGGATACGCACATGCTAGGTGCGGATGTAGATTCTATATTCAAAAACCTGATACTCGAGTACTGATCAAGTGATCACGAACAGCTCGGCTAATCAAATATTTGAAGGGGAGACGAGAGCATCGCCTGTGAAACCAACAATACCAACAGATCACCAACAGCACCAACCAACAGACCCCCCCAAATGAACAGAGGTTGAAATTCTTTGTTTCGCACATCAGCTAGGAGTTTGAAAACACATTGGGCATTACGATGATAGTTTCATGTTAGTAGGGAGTAAAAAGATAACCATGCGACAAAGAAACTTACGTTGGCTCGTCTTAGGAAACATAGCATCTTTTGGGAATTTATGAAAGGACTTCGTTCCTGATCAAATGGAAACCACTTCCCGAATTAAAAACCAGAGGTGATCACATGAAGGCATCTCGCTTAGAAGAAACAAATGCCTCAACTAACGTCCTTGGAAGTTGCATTACCAACATAACTCGGCTAATTCGGACGATTGTGGAGAGATGACTGGTTGCTGCTATACTGGTACCCCTATGTAGAGTCACTAAGCGAAGTAAGGGAATAAATGCTATCCTATATAAGCGCAACCTAATATTATTATTTAATTACGCCGTTGTATGCTAAGGCCAACCATAAATACCTACGGTTCTACTACCGTCCGACCTACGAACGAACCGCAAGCCTCTAGCTTAAACGTAGCATACATCTATAAGTACTCCTCGTTACTCCCTCACAGTATATTTAGGGTCTAGTGTCGCAAAGCTCCGTTCGTCTCTTGGTCATAGAGAATAAGCACAGTCAAGACTTAACCAGTGAAAACAAGATTAGTATGGATATAAAAGAGAGAGTAAAATATGAACATCTCTCTTTCTTCTTCTAGTCTTTCTACTCGTAAACTACTGGAATAATAGAGAAGTGGGAACCTATGGTAAGCCATGCTACGCCTTAGCATACACTTGGCACTTGCACATCTTACCCCCTTTGCCCCCTATAGCCTGTAGGTCGACGCTAAGCTGTAATACTCTTATATTTCCATTTCGTCTAAGTATATGTATGAATATGTGCTAGTTACAACAGTCCTCTCAAATTTTGATGCTAAGCTATCAACCAATTATAACCACCCTTGGGCTGCTCAGTCATCTGTGTATCTAACATAATAGATCCTAACCCCCGCCCGTTTTGTTATCCTAAGGCCTTTTTTTCTTCTTCTCGGGCTACTGTTTCCTCTGTCTTTGACCTCGGCAGGACTCCGTCTAGACCATAACCTCTTATTCCCTACTTGACTTCTGTGATGGCTATATAACGTAAGATAATATACCAGTCAGAAGTTGGAACAAAAGAGAAGAATCTAAACCACAACACGAATAGTCAAAGAATCCAACTCGAAAGACCCAGCGATTTATTCCAAAAAGCCAATTACCAATAACACTCACCCAACTCATCCTCATAAACCCAGTCTACTATCCAAACTTTTGGAGCCATTGGAACCATTGGATTCTTGGGCCAAAGGGAATCGCAACTTTCTCATTAATCTTTCTGATCAAGATTCTCTGTGCCGTAAATGCTTGGGTATATGAATGTGTGTGTTCCTTCCTTTTTCATGACAGCAGAGGTTTCTCAAGGCAACAAGACAACCAAACTTATATTCTGCTCTTTCTCAAATTCTCTTTTCCACTCTATTTTACGGAAACACAAACGCAAGATTCAAACATGACTTCAAACCTAGAGAATCTCGACGTTATATGGATACAGAGACCGACACCGTACAGCCCTTTCGAAGGAGGCATAGGAGGACAAGGGCAGGTCGGCAACCCCTTGCGTGAGTGGGAACCGCAAGAAGAAGAAGCCTTGAAAAGTATTTTGCGTCAACGTGACAACACAGACCCGGTGTTTCCAAAGGATTTTGAAGATGTGGCCAAGCGTCTTACGTTATGGTTCAACCAGGAAAACAAACCAGAGGGAATACATTTCACTGAAGCAGAGGTGGAATGGAAAGTTTTCGTGATGTAGGAGCACTACGAAATAACCATTAAACAACCTTTCCGACGTATGATCCCAAGTGAGCACAGCAAATATCGCGGTCCGAGGGAGCTCTACCGATTTATTGCAAAATGTCTTTCCGCAGAAAACAATCAAAGCTTTGACAACATTAAGTTTACGAGGGGCTCACTAACAATGGAAGAATGCATAGCAATGGAACCAATGGATTTTTGCGACATTGTTATTATCGACACGGCTTTCAGAAATCGATTAATCAAAGAAATGATTTCCTTGAAATACCCAGATGCCATAGATTACTCGAAACAAGGTGTCGTTGAACGACTAATCTTATATTTCTGGCCTTGGTTAAAAGAATCCAAAGACTTACTAAGACTGCGAGACATTTTACCCCTCGTCGATAAAGACGCAAAATAAGGGGACGTGGAACGACCAGAACCACACAATGGGAATCTTCCTTCGGAAGTCTGGGGTTGGCAACACATTCCGGATGATGGTTCTTGGGAGACTTTTCTACTCTTCGAGCCAGAGGAGGTTGAATTGCTGAGTATAGGGAATATTAGCATGCGCGTTTATGGGATATATTTAGACACTCGATATTTTGTTGTCAGTTTCGAAGTACATCAAGCTCAGATAGACTTGGCCAAGCTATCAAGTCACTCGCTATTATTTTGTATTCAATCCCTAAGATTGTCATGCTCAGACACACTTAGTTTTACTATCAAATAAAAACCAGTCATTCGTTTATTTTTGTTTCCTAATGAGCTTTCGAAGAGAATAATCAACAACTCAAGTACTTATTAGGTAGTCGTGAAGTTACTTAGAGTCAAGCAGCAAATTCGATTACTTAGTCAGTCTTAAGTAGTAGATTAAATAACTCAAGTAGTACTGGAGGTAAAGAGGGCGGACACATCGGACTATCCACCCCAAATACCGAACGAATATAGGTGGGTATAATCCACTAGTTTTTAATAGAATTATACAGCTTTTGTGCTGTTGCTAGGCGATTTCGAGCGATTTATGCAAAAGAAATTGGCCAAACTCGGTAAATATAACATAAAATAAGCAGTGGTATCTACGTGAAAACCCTACCTATATTCGTTCCGCATTTGGGGTGGATAGTCCGATGTGTCCGCCCTCTTTAAGTATTAAAAAACATGACGAAAGTACAAAACAATTATCTTTAAATAGAACCTCTCTCGCCCCAATCTTTAAGCTTATTATTGCCTTAAATCTCTTTCAAGAGCTTGTTTCTGTTTCTTTAAATAATTTAGATCTCTAGCTAAGTTTCCGTCCGTAGTATTGCCAAATACCCGGGCGCGCGCGCCGACTCGGCTCCGTACTACTTAAGCACTTGACACTTACTTAGGTATAAGTTGAGTAGGGCTGGAAAGCCGTTAAGCTATGTTAAGCAGGTGTCACTACTTAACTTATCTACTTGAATTTCGAACGCTGTCCTTGAATAATCATCGACTCCTTGAGGAACGTCACAACGGAGCATACCTACTTTTGCATTATTCTTTGACCATGAGTATTAAGCTGATTACAAATAATGCTGTATATCTTGCACTTCGACTTGAACGGACACCGGCAAGTAGACACAAGAAGAATGCGGAGATGGCCAATAATGCCAGCACGTGTTTTAGAGCTGCCTAGGCCCCAAAAGGGGTGTGAGATGGATCCACACGCAGACCACCTCAACATTTTCTTAGCGCTAAGAAACAGCATCATAAATCCTTCTTATGTCTGTCAGAAAATAGAACATGTGCTTTGAAATTCAAGTCTTAAAAATAAAACCGAGAAGGCGTCATAGTCCCCATCTGGCATACAAATAGAAAGAAAACCCCGAGAAGAGGGTCTCCTGACCGCTGTTTGCTTCGCTGGACGATGATTGTTCAACCCCAATCGCACAACACAATTCACTTAGCCGTAACACAACAGATGATCAATACTCCGTACACAGACTCAGCACACGCTCGAGCAAATTAATCAGCACAGCAAATAAATCCGTAGACGGTTATACTTCCTGCTCCTCCACGAATGCCGAGGCAGATCCCTTGGCTTACTGGCTTCGGCGGCTTCCCCGGTGACACCTGACCGGTGAATCGAGGCGCCCCCCCACCCAAAAAGAAACGGCTCCCATGAAAAAGAAGCACAGCGGGGAACACAACTCTCTTCCTCTTTCATAAACAGATATTAAAAGCAGGAAAGACGCCCAGAGAAAAGCAAATTAGGTTCCTCGTCGAGCCAGTTCTTGGCTATGGTTTGATCCCCTAGTTTCATGACAACTGCCAGCCAAGAGAATCTAGATCTGGGTTGACACGGTCACGGTACTCGCCCTGAGATCCGTATAACTAGATCGCGGTCCCACTGCATCCGAAGGGGAAGAAGGAGAATTGAAGCAGGGAGAAAAAAGATGACATACACACCACTCGATCGCAATGAATTCAGACTCTGTTCTATCGACGTTCCGGATGACCCGGGAATGTCAATCCGGGTCAATACAAGAATCGCCAGTCTTGCCATTTCTTCAAGACCGAAATTCAAGGCGCTCTACGCTGGAAAAACGAGCGAGGGGTTTGATCGTCGTTCGTTGATTTTGAATGGTTCGCGGATATTTGTTACGAAACATTTGGACTCTGCACTTCGGTTATTACACCACCACGAGCAGCAATCAGCGTGGGTGGAAGAAATCTGTGTGAATCATGATGATGAGGAAGAGAAGACTCAGCAAGCGACTCTGGTCGGGAAAATTTTTGCTGCAGCCGATGAACTGTTGGCTTGGGTAGGCGACAGTTCGCGGTGGATCAACGGAGGGCTGAATTTTTTGCAAGCCTGGGCCAAAGTTGATTGCAATTTCGACGACTTGGCTCAAGTGCAGGCTCTTATGAAGAAGCCGGAGTTATGGAAGAGGCAAAGTTGGCAACAGGCAGACGATTTGTTTGAAATGCCCTTTTGGAGACAGCGATGGCTGGTGCAACAATTGGTTCTAGCTCGTCAATCTGCGATTCTTTGTGCAAAGAGGAAGATCCCTTTGGCTGATTTGGAGAGAGTGGTGGAAATGTGGAAGACTTTGGAAGAACCTCGATTCGCCAAGATCATTGGGAATAACATTAATGCTATGGCTCCTGCTGTAGCAGCATCCAGAAGATTGCGTCTTCATTCTAGCCTGCTATCTCGTCGGAAAAAGCCAGGATATTGGCCTGGAGTATTGAACCTGGTGGAGTTGTGTCAGGACACTCAGATTTCAAACTATTCTCCGGCTCAATTGACGGCACTTTCGAGGACAGCCGAGAAACCGGACGATATTGCAGACGACACCAGATGTGTGAGAAAAATGCTCATCGATTTCGCCGCCGGAGCAATCAACGACTGTGACCATCTGAAGATTTTGGAAAGAGCTGGTATTGCAGACCTAGATGCAGTGGAGAGATTCGACCTTCCGTCTTGGGTCCCAACCTGGGAGAAAGAGGCATCCTCACCCTTGCGAAGGTTGTATGATGCCTCTGGACATTCCAAAGCCGTATGTAATTTCGGGGAAGACGAAGTTCTCGGAGAGCAAAATGTCCTTCGCTTCTTCGCGACTGGAGTTAAGTGCGGCACAGTGCTGGAAGTCGACTCGGCAGAAACTATGGCCGAAAACCCATTCCGCATGCTTGGGGGCGAATATAGAAAGTATCGACTGAACCAGAAGTACCCAACTGGTATGCCTGGACTACAGGCGATCTTCAGAACCATGATTTTAGACCAGATTCCAAAAGTTGAGAGGAGATTAACTCCAGCAAGAAAGGAGTTCTTCGACCTGGCTGCTGGCTTTTTGTTTATGCTGCAATACATGGACAAGAAAAGTCCAGAAGATTTGCTGAAAACTGTGCTGGACCAAGACTTATCCGCAGGAAACAAAGATGACAGCATTCCGGATTACGCAAAATCATTCATGAAATACAGCAGGAAAACAGCAGAGAATGGCAAGGTTGTTCTTTCAGAAATCCTTGAACCGTTCCTAGGGTCATCATCCTCACCAACCAAAATCGAGTGGCCAGAGGAACACGACAATGAACGAGGATTTGCATACACAATGCCCTTTCTCGCTGAGGCAGCGCGTTGTCTGAAGGGCCGAACAATGTTTGCACTCAACAAGGGCTACTTTGGTGTGGGCCCTCTAGGTACTCAACCAGGAGATACAGTTTGTGTACTCTGGGGTTGTGATGTACCTGTTGTGATTAGAAGGCTCGAGGACCACTACGTACTTGTCGGGCCTTGCTTCGTCCTCGGATTTATGGACGGCGAAATGAGGAAGATGGTTGACCAAGGGCTGAAAAAGGAGAAGATATTCAATTTCAGATGAAAAAGTGCATTTACAGGCGTTTTGGGATTCTGGGAGGAAAACAGTGCGTAAGTTCTGGAAGTACGTGGACATAAAAAAGCAGAATTCCGTGAAAAAAGTCACGAAGAAAAATATACCCGAACAAAAAGAAAGGGAGGTGGAAATAAGCTCCATAATAGCTTGATGAGGGGCGTTAGACATGAAGTCATCGGAACCTTTTAGTGGGACGTGGTCGAAGCTAGGAACGGCGACGGGAAATAGAAAGAACCTCTCAACAAATACGATTTATGCCCTCAATTTTGTTTTACGTACACACTGTGAGATCTCTTGTCTTTGATCTGTGTGCATCTGAACATGTCGAACCTGATACTAATAAGATCCATAGAATCAAGACACTTACTTGTGGGAAGCATTTGAGATAGTCCCGGACTAATATTTGTTCGTCTTATTGAACTAGTATTTTCGGTCTCGGTCTCGGCCTCGGCGTTAGAACCGGGGTTTGCCTCGGAGCCGCGGAGCCCGGCAGTACTGTAACCATTTGCTGCAGAAGAATGCCCCGAACGGGATTTCACCCCCGCCATTGATGCGCCCATGGGAAACCAGCCAGCTCCTCCACTATCTTCCCGCAACAACACTAAACTCAGGTCGTATTTGAGCTTCTCTCATTGGCATTGCAAAAGACTGGCGGTAGCCCAATATGGACGCAGAATCCTTCTACTATCATTCTCTGGTGGGAAGTCTGATCGGAGAAGGCGTTCCATTAGCCATGGAACGTGTATTGCAAAATCCGTTAAGTCCTGTGTGACTTGAGAACAAGTTCGAAATATTCGGTTGCTGCTTATTGAGGAAACAGCTTATATAAAGCTGACTTTTCTGCAATTCTCAATTCGATATCAACAAGTCATCTAAACATCCAAAGCTTTGCTCTAAAAATTAACTATATAACCTTTCCTATCTTCTACTACAACAAAAACTTCCCCAAACTACTCTCACCATGCACGTCTTCATCACAGGAGCCACCGGCTTCGTAGGAACATCCGTCGTCCAAGCCCTCCACAAAAGCGGCCACACAGTCCTAGGCCTCGTCCGCTCCCCGCAATCCGCCCAAAAGCTCCAAGCAACCGGCGCCAAAGCCCTCCACGGAACCCTCGAGGACCTCGAGATCCTCCAACAAGGAGCCAAAGAGTGCGATGGCGTGATCCATCTCGGATTCGTCCACGAGCTTATGAGTTCCGATTTCGAGAAAGCTTGTGCCATTGATGCCACAGCCACTGAAACGATCGGTCACGCGCTCGAGGGCACGGGAAAACCGTTTGTGTATACCTCTGGTCTTTTGGGGATTAGAAGTGATGGCGTACTGGCGACGGAAGGAGATGAACGTCAGGGTGGGGGGGCGTTCCATCCTAGGGTTAAGACGGAGAGTAAGGTCTTGGGGTTTGCGGCTAAGGGTGTGAGGGCGATGGTTATCCGTCTTCCACCTTCTACTCATGGAGAAGGGGACAAAGGGTTTGTTCCCATGCTCACTAAAGTAGCGCAGGAGAAGGGTGTCTCGGGGTATATTGGGGGTGGAACGAATGCATGGCCTTCCTGTCATAGGTCAGATGCAGCGGTGTTGTATAAGTTAGCGCTGGAGAAGGGTGTTGCTGGAGGCGTGCATCATGCTGTTCATGACCAGGCTGTGCCAACGAAAGATATTGCTGGTGTTATAGGGAGGAAGTTGGGTGTTCCTGTTGTGTCGATAGCGCAACAGGAGGCGGCTGGTCATTTTGGATTTATGGCTTGGCCGCTTGGTATGAATGCTCCGACGTCTGGGGAGAAGACACAGAAGGAGCTTGGGTGGTTGCCGGTTGACTCGAAGCTTATGGAGGATTTGGAAAGTGGGAGTTATTTCTAGATATACGTTAGTATATTGATTGCCTACGGATTTGGTCACTTGACAATCTGGAGGAGATTCCGACACTCGAAAATCAGCGAAAAATAAAAATAAAATATATCACTTTACTTTCCTCCCCCCAAGATTCTCCTTGAAATGCGTCACGATAAATCTCCATCGTGAATAGTCTGGTCACCCAAACCTACTTTGGTACAGAAGTTATAGTGCTGTCAGTACTTACCGCAGTAAATCCATGTGTTGGTGAAGTGTTGAAGTCGCTATCACCCATATTTAAGCGAGACTTTGAGAGGACAACCGTCTCTTTATATCAGCGTATTAACAGAACTAATCAAATACTCAACGCTACTTGAGTAGTGTTCGAGTTGAGTTGAATGAATATGATTAGGTAACTCTGTTGAGTTGAGTTAAGTAGTAAAGTTGACTATTCGAGTAGTATTCGAGTAGTTATATATAACGTGACTACAATACAAGAAGAAACTCATCCTTAAATAGCATATGCCGATGTAGGGGCTCTCGGCTAAGTCGGAGTGCGTGGACCGCCCGTCCGGAGGCCGGCTAGCGAGCCCGGGCGTTTCCGGGCATCGGGCCGACACTACTTAAGTAACTCATGAGTTAATTGAGTACTTGGCGAGTTGAATTGATTAGCGGTTTTCACTACTCAAGTTAAGTTTATTAGGTGCTACTACTCAACTCAACTACTCGAATTCAATACGCTGCTTTATATCCATGTATCCACAAGAAAATAGATACCATCCATCACCTCTCATTTTCAAATCATCGTTCCGGGAAGTTCATATCTGGTAGCGTCTTTAGTAGAGCCATCCCTCTAGGAACTCTGGAGCCGATATTGCCTGACACCGTCCAAATTAGGTACACAAAGGTGGGGGGATACACGGGATACGACTAGGACAGAGGGTTAACAGCTCCTCCGATCAACTTTCAAGAGAGTTTAAGCGTAACCCTTGCCTCTCCGAGCTTTCCGCAAGCTATCTGTCCATAGGGCCTTTCCCCCTCCCTTTACCTTTATACACTACCTGTAAGTACTTAGTCGTTTTCACCTGTCCCTCTCCCTCCCTACCTGTAGGTAAGATTACTTAGTCGTCTCTACCTATCCCTCCCTATAAGTACTTTTCTACTTTGCCGTCCTATAAGTCTCTACTTCTATTATACCCCTATACCCCCTCCCCCCTGTCTCTACCTTCCCTGCCTATAAATAAGTAAACGGGTAAATGCGTAAACTAGTAGATAAAGAACTGTATCTTTAGTAGGATTTAGGGTTTAGCGCCTACCGTTAGGAGCAGGAAATACCTCCCACTAGGAAGGTTTTATACCTCGGGCCGTCCCGCGCGGGAGGAGCAGGAGGGTTGATAAGAATGCTCGGTTAGACATTGCTGGATTTTTGTGCCCCACATTCCTTTCCTCATTCCATATCCACCAACACAACACACGCGAATTAGGGTTATTGATAATACAAACTTCTGTGCAAGATTTCTGTAAGTACTCTACACGATTTCTGTATTTGCATTGGTACTGACACAGTCTCATGTCGCGAGAAGGAGAAACTCCGAGCCTTGATAACGGTTTAGTCAAAAGGAGTCAAGAATTCTGGTTACAGACAAGTTTTACCTGGAAGAACCTGTTCTATATTATTTGAAAGTTGTGCTAGACCATTTTATATTCTTTGAACATTCCGATGAATAAATAAGTCAGAAAAGTCTATTTCCCTCAAATTTACAGCTATTGTAGATAATCCTGGCTGAAATTCTGGAGCTCAAAATACGTACTTTGGTGGAATATGTAAGATGGCTTACATGGCTACACGAGTAAAATAAAACTTAGTACTCATAGCGTGGTCGTCAATGCCATCATGTCAACCTCAGCCTCAATGGAAGTTGCGAAGAACTGATCGTCAAAAGTGATTCGCTCTTTCCTCCGTAAAGCTGCATTCCTGGTCCTCATACCTAGAGAAAGCTAGACTACAATAAGTAAAGCGCAAAAGTCAAAATTAAGCTCACCAAGTGCATTCCCGCTGGCACTAAGAAACCTAGATACGCACTAATGCAAACTTAAGTTTCTTACCACGTGTACGTCACCGTTACTCACTTCTATTTAACCTCTGTCATTTTTACAGAATCTTCTATACCGACGCCTGTGGGATTCGCGCTGGAGAGAAATCCCTCGCTAGACTGCAGTTTCTGGCAAATGTTGTCCTCGAAGCGAATTCGCGTGACGGCAGTATTGCTATTCATACTTGCGGTGCTTACCTTTATTGTACCGTACCATCTACCCAGACTCCGCTTTGCAACATTACATTTGTCCTCTTCAACCTTACATTTGTCCTCTGCAACATTCCATTCGTCTTCTACAACATCCCATTTGCCCTCGGCGGTAGCAACACCACCCTTAACGGTAAAGTCATCATCCTCAGCCTCACCATCGATTGATTGGTCGAGGTTTGCATATGTACAATATGTCACCAACTTCAATTATCTGTGCAATTCGGTCATGCTATTTGAAATCCTTCACAGATTAGGAACAAAGGCGGACTTGTTGATGATGTACCCGGCAGACTATCAATTAAATGATAGAACGCAGGAAGGCGAACTTCTTTTAAAGGCCAAGAATATGTACGGAGTCAAGCTAACGCCGATTCAAGTTCAAAGCCGCCTAGGAAGTGATGGTTGTTTCCCCCTCCTATGCACAACGCATTTGTGAGGCTAATATACTATACAGACACATGGGCCAAAAGTTACACCAAACTTCTAGCGTTCAACCAGACACAATACGATCGGGTCCTCTCACTAGATTCCGACACGACCGTTTTAAAACTCATGGACGAGCTCTTCCTCCTCCCTTCAACCCCCGTCGCACTTCCCCGGGCATTCTGGCTCGATCCCAAAGAGCATAAACTCACTTCCCTACTCGTTCTCGTGGAACCATCTGAGGCGGAATTCAAGCGCGTAGAAAAGGCAACAGAGGAGGCCGGTCCAGATGACTACGACATGGAAATACTCAATAAGGTATATGGAAATAGCGCAATGATCATTCCGCACCGGAAATACGGTTTACTCACTCGAACATTCTGGGAAGATCATGCCAAAGCATATTTGGGCAATGATTACGAGAAGTGGGATCCTGAAAAGGTCATCAAAGAGGCTTCTCTTATCCACTTTTCGGACTGGCCCGTTCCCAAGCCCTGGCTGTCGAATAAAGCCAAGATGGAACAAGTTGCGCCTAAATGCGATGGTAAGCAATCGCAGGATTGTAAAGCTAGAGAGATCTGGTTTGGATTATACGAGGATTTTGCAAAGCGGAGAAAGGTAGGTTCTAGTAGCTTCTCGACTGATCTTCAATGCTAATATCTTGAAAGGAAGTCTGCGATCTCGACGTCACAGTCGTGGATGAATACGGTTACCCTGTTGACCAGTGAGAGTAATGTTGGTACGACCTGGTGGTCGTGACGACGGCGAATACGGGATTCAGGTCACCTTCTCTTTGGAGGTAACTAAATCGGTGTATTCATTTGTTCGTGAAGAGTAAAGGTAGAGAGATGTGGTGCTCTACGAGCTTAAGTATGTGTGTGGCAAGCCACTCACATGACACCAAGCATGTAGAACCACCAAGCTCTCGTACGAGGTGCTAATCACCATAATTATATACCGACACTGGGCCTACTTTAAAGTGGCCAAAATAAGTAAAGACTGTAAGAAGTGAAAGAAAAGAAACCACCTGTTCCATCTAACCAATCATGCCTATTCCATCTAACTAGTCATGTCCTCCTTTCGCATAGCCTTCCGTTCCTTCCTCAAGTGTACGTTCAACCCATTCAGTAACCTTGAGATCAAGCTTGTTTGTGTCAATTAGGTTACGGAGAGCAGGACAAGCCTTGGACTTTGTCATAGCGTCCGCTGGGTTACTATTGCCATCAATCCACTTGATCTCGCTAATCTCATGCTGTTCGTACGCTTGTCGTAGGCACATCACGTCTATCATAAGGCGCTTCTCCTTAGTGGTCCCAAGTTTGACTAGGCACTCGTAAAGTGACTTCGAGTCAGTACAAACTGTGAGAGGTAGCTTGAGACCAAGGATAGCTTCCAGAGTTGCCTTGATAGACGAAGCCATGTCGAATCCACCGCTCATTGCATACAATTCAGAGGCTAAAACGCTCCGCGTAACTCTCTTACACTTAATAAGCCACTCACATGACACCAAGCATGTAGAACCACCAAGCTCTCGTACGAGGTGCTAATCACCATAATTATATACCGACACTGGGCCTACTTTAAAGTGGCCAAAATAAGTAAAGACTGTAAGAAGTGAAAGAAAAGAAACCACCTGTTCCATCTAACCAATCATGCCTATTCCATCTAACTAGTCATGTCCTCCTTTCGCATAGCCTTCCGTTCCTTCCTCAAGTGTACGTTCAACCCATTCAGTAACCTTGAGATCAAGCTTGTTTGTGTCAATTAGGTTACGGAGAGCAGGACAAGCCTTGGACTTTGTCATAGCGTCCGCTGGGTTACTATTGCCATCAATCCACTTGATCTCGCTAATCTCATGCTGTTCGTACGCTTGTCGTAGGCACATCACGTCTATCATAAGGCGCTTCTCCTTAGTGGTCCCAAGTTTGACTAGGCACTCGTAAAGTGACTTCGAGTCAGTACAAACTGTGAGAGGTAGCTTGAGACCAAGGATAGCTTCCAGAGTTGCCTTGATAGACGAAGCCATGTCGAATCCACCGCTCATTGCATACAATTCAGAGGCTAAAACGCTCCGCGTAACTCTCTTACACTTAAAAGAGGACCAGTGTAAGATGTTAGCGTTCCCTGCTTTATCAGCTAGTACAAGAACATAGCCAATTTGAGAAGTAAGGTCCTCGTTATTGGCAAAGGAGGAGTCAGTGAATATGACTAGTTTGAGTGTGTTCTTGTCTAGCTTAATGAATCGGAGGCCTCTGGTAGAGTTGTCAATTTGCCATTGAATTCGCTTGTTAAGGAGTGTGATGTCCTGGCTTTGAGGGTTGAGCTTCTGGGCAGCGAAGGAGAGATCAAAAGCAGCTTCTGGTTGTGAGACTGTTGCTAGGTAAGCTCCACGTGCTCGCTGGGCTACATATTGGTCCTTGGTTGAGGCACTCTGGCGAACGTTGCCCCGGGAGCTCACGAGGTTCGCTGGTGAGGTGCTCACTGGCTTCAAGTGTTTGGTGTAGCCTTCCTGGGTTAAGAGTATTGAGCCACATGGCTGGAGCGTAACTTTGCCACCATTGAATTTGAGTGGGTGTTCGCTTGTAAGCTGCTCCATGGGTTTTGAGGTGAACTCAGCCTTCTTCAATTCCTTCTCTTCAGCCGTAGCAAACCCTGGGTTTGCTAGTATGAGAGTATCGTCAGTCTGAAGACCAACGACTCCAAATTGCTCTTGCTTTAGCTCGCTGACAGAGAGTAGGCAGGGATCGTACGTGGACTGGGACATGCGTAGCTTCTCAAGGTGATGTTTGTGGTAGGTACTAAACCAGTGGTTCCCAGCTTGAGGTACGCCGTAGAGTGGTTTTATGACTTTGAGGTAGATACCACTCCACTGAGGGACTCCTTGTGGCGGGCGTACGTAGAACTCCCGGTTGAGCTTTGTGGTTGACTGGGTGTACGCCTGGGTAATATCTCTTAGATAGACATTTAACTCAGGGTATATGGCAGCTATGGCAAGTATAATTCGCTGGCTGACTCTTTGAATTGTGGGTGATTGAGTTAAGACCTGGGATTTCTCTTTGTCGTTGTACGCTTGGATGACAAGCCTTGACTTTTCGTACGCTTTGTCTGTGCCCTCGTTCTTGATGCTGTCTACAAATCTTGAATCAAATATTCTTGCGCCTTCGGGTAGGTCGCAAGGCTGGATGTGTTCGAAGACTTCGCGCTCAATTAGACCATTGACTTCCTGTTGCTGAGAGTGCTTAAATTGGCTAAAAGCAGAGGCAGTAGAAGTGGTGCCTTTGGCGAAGTAGACGTTAATATTCAGGGCGCTTGGTTGCTTTCGCGGTCTCCCTGGGCCACGCTTCGGTGGCTGGCTATTGGGTTCCTGGGGCTGGCTATTAGGTTCCTGTGGCTGTTCTTGACTTTGAGCCTTTCGAGGTCTACCTGGGCCGCGCCTTGGCTGAATGACTTCAGGTAACGTGGACGTGGCTGGAGAAAGTGTCTCTTGTTCTTCAGGTTCCTGGGTGGCCGGTGGTGTCTGAAAGTCTGGGTCCGTAAGGTAGGGCTTTACCACTGTAGAGCGGAACCTCGTAGGTCCGCTTGAGAGCTTGACAATACATTCCTCATTTTCCATTCCTATGAGCGTGAAAGGGCCAGTCCACTTCCCAGGTTCACGCCACACAAGGACATCTGAATTGAGGGGAAGGTCCTTGAGTAGGCTATTTGTTGGGCCATTGCGCTGATTAAGAGCATCGTTGATTTGTCGCTTTGCCTGGAGTTTACGTAGCTCCTCCATAGCCTTCTTGAGTGTGCTTGAGCGCTGGCTAATAGAGGGTGAGGGAGCGTCAAAATCGGCTATGCGTGGGTAGGCGCCAAACACAAGTAGAGTAGGTACAAGGCCTTCAGGCCCTACAGTGTCGTTGATTGCCTTGAATGCCATTTGAAGGGCTGTGTCTTTAGCGAGGTCAGGCAGCTCTTCAGTTATAATTGCGTATGCTCTCCTAAGTGGGCCATGGTAGCGTTCCACTATCCCAATAGAGTTGTGAGCTTCCACAGGTACAACCTTAGTACGAATTCCCATGGAACCTGCATATTGCCTGAACTCCTTGCTCACAAAGTTCTTGCCGGCATCGTGAGTAATTAGATCTGGGGGTCCAAGGTAGGTGTTAATCCAGCACTCTTGTAGCTTTTCCCATGTGTGCTTGGCTGAGATTTGGCGTAGCCACCTGCCTGCTTGAAAACGAGTACACTCATCTACTATATGTAGTAGAGGCTGGCCGTTAATATACATGATATCAACGTAGATATTGTAGTTGAATTCAGTGTCATCGTGAAGGGTAAAGCGGAAGCGGCCAGGGGATTTCCCATGCTTTTGGCAGTAGTGGCAGTACTCGTTCAGGTGCTTGAGTATGCCTGGGTCAGCATCGCCGTGGCCGGCACGCTCTAAGAGGAGCTGGAGGCGGCTAACAGATGGGTGTCCAAAGCGCCTATGAAGGCGGCGAATTTCAGTCTCCGTAAGCTGACTTGGGGACTCCTGTAGAAAAGAGCACAAAGACTCTCCCCAAAGCAGGAAGGGGTGCCCAAAGCGACGTACTACTGATAATTCGTCTTGTGGAGTAATGAGTGTGTTTTTGAGGTTATTAAAGTGAACTCCTAACTTATCCATGTCCGCTAAGCAAAGCAGGAAAGGGGTGTCTGTCCGGAGTACATGGAATTCAATTAGGCCAATAGGCGAATTAACGCGTATAGAGCCTAAGGATGCCGCAGTGCCAATGCCGAACTTGACGGTCACTTCGCCCTTTGAAGCTGTGGCAATAGGCGCGTTCCAAATTGAATTATAGGCTAGGTACTGGTCGTATCCTACGGTTGACTTTGAGGCTGCGCCTGTATCAATCATAATCCCAAAGAAGTAGCTTGCGTTATAGCGTTGAACTCCTGTGGCTATTAAAGCCTCGGTGTCCTTGCCTTCGGCAGTGGGGGCAGGAAGTGAGCTTGTGAAAGCGTGGAAACAGGCTGCCTCAGCGAGCTTGGAAGTGATGCTCGTGGCGCTCGAAGTGCTAATTTGGCCAAGCGAAGTCACAAAGTTCTCGCTCTCGCTCTCTTCGAGTTCAGGGGTGTTCAAGGGCTCATGTTCTTCATTGTCTTCGAGTGTGACAGCTTGGAATGCTTCGTCGTGGGGATTAAATTGTCCTCCTTCGTACTCAAGGACGTACTGTCTGAATGACCGTTCGAATGTAGGCTCATTAAATTGTCCTCTGAGCTTGCTTTGGTATCTTGACTTAAAGCGGTCCCTGGCTTGGTCACGCTCGCGCTCAGGGTGGTTTGTTGACCAGCAGCCTTGTTTCTTGCAAACAAAGCATTGCTTCTTGTTGTTGTCTCCACGGTAGCTGCTTCCGCGATAGCCGAGACCCTGGCTTGTACGCGAATTACTACGTGAGGATTGGAACCTGCGATCTGTCATGTAGCTCTCTGCGAGAGTA